CGTAGCTGGTGCGGGGTCTGGAGCACAGGGCTGGTGGGGAGCGGCTGAGGGAGCTGGGGGTGTTCAGCCTGGAGAAGAGGAGGCTGAGGGGAGACCTGATCGCTCTGCAGCTCCTGGCAGGAGGGGGCAGGGAGGGGGGTGTTGGGCTCTTCTCCCAAGGAACAAGCGATAGGACGAGAGGAAATGGGCTCAAGCTGCGCCAGGGGAGGTTTAGATTGGATATTAGGAAAAAAATTCTTCTGAAAAATAGTGGTCGAGCCTTGGAACAGGCTGCCCAGGGAAGCGGTTGAGTCCCCACCCCTGGAGGTATTTAACAGATGCGTAGCTTAGGGACGTGGTTTAGTGGTAGGCTTGGCAGTGCTAGGTTAATGGTTGGACTCAATGATCTTAAAGGGCTTTTCCAACCCAAACGATTCTATGATTCTATAAAAGAGACGCCAGGCAGACACCTGAGGTGCCTCTGCTCCGAGGGCACAGCTCTGACGAATGCGGGGGTTTTCCCCCCCAGGACTTTCGGCGGATGGAATTTGAGCTCCCACAAACAGATCCAGCAGCATTCCTCCTCGGGAGCCGGTGGCCCAGGTCCAGGCATGATGCAACAAGCATTGGTGAGCAGAGGAAGGAACTGCAGCCACAATATCGTATGATTATCACGTGGGGCATCATCAGTCCTTATCGGACTTTCTTTCACTAAAAAAAGTGAAAAGAGGCTAAGGGCATGCCCTTAGGTGGTGGGTTTAGAAGGGCCTGACTTTATCAGGCAGGTCTAAATAAACTATCATAAACAATATAGGGAAGGAACTGGATGAGAAGCTGACTCTCTTAAGACCTGTTATGGGCAGTGCCGATTCCAGCGACAGCAATTCCCATGCAGGAGCAGCCACCACGTGTCCCGGCACCGCGGCTCCGCCGGGCTCCCTCGTGGCAGCAGGGATTGAGGGCCAGCCCCGGGATAAAGCTCAGGGCAGGATCGCTGGAATAAAACTCAGGGCAGGATCCTACTGACTTCAGGTGAGACGAGGCTTTAGGTATTTCCGAGCTCTATAGCAACGCCCAATCCGTGGGGAAATATGATACGCACAGATGGGATTTTTCTTTCCCAAAAGCCAGCAGCGCTAAGGGTTTGGACATCCTTTGGGCAAGCTGGAGAGGCAGCAT